GGCCATTAAATGGGTTTTGTGGTTGAATTTTAGGTTTAATTAGCCAATTTATTATGATTATTTGGCTAATTAAACATAAAGGGAATAAATGGATGGTTACATAATCAATTAGCTAGCCTAATTGGGGTAGTAAAGTGGGAAAAGATAGGAAAGGTAGAAAGCTAAGGGGATGGTCGGTTTTGACTAGTTTTTGGGGTTAATTTTGGGAGTTATGTGGCTAATTGGCTAATTAATTTAGCAAAATAGAATTATTGCTAAATTAATTAGCTAATTAGTGTGATGAAATAGGTAAATATGAGGAGACAAACTGGTTCCTCTTTTAGCAATAGATGGCCGGCCTTTAGCACATATTTGGAGATATTTTGTTGTCAATTGAGTGACTTAATTGGTATTTGAATTGTTATCTTTTTTGGAGCATTTTTTATTTGGTTGAGGATGATTGCCTGTTACTTGCGTGTAAGAATCCTGGTATGCCCCAAGGATAGTTTTGTCCTCTTTTATCAAAGATCCACGTGTCGCCTTGTGATTATTTTTGACTCCACACCAATAACATTTTCCTTTAGTAAATTCAATAAAACACCACAATTTGCATATGATCAATTCGAATTGGGCAGAATTCAAATTTTAGTAGAATAGCGAATTTTCAATGACATAACAACAAAAAGGGCATATATTCCATAATATTTGTCACTCTTTTTTTTTTGTTTTTTTAACCGGCCAACATTCCTGTCTGAACGTATTAGTGGACGATAGTAAAAAGTAGCCGCCAAATGGCGTTGGACTGAAGCGTGGATAAATAAATTAATAAGCTAATTGAAAGTAGCAGCCAAGTACTGTTTGTCTTCTCGACATGTAAACAAAGTATAAAACTGCATTTTATCTTCCAGAAGAAAATTATAGCCAACCTTAAAAATGGAAAGGAATTCGGATCCCTTTCCACATAATCCATCAAGTTTGGGATCCGGGCCGTTGAAATTTGATCTAACGATTATAAAAAGGGGATTCCTTTAAAAGTTATAATAATTGTAATCATTGAATCAAATTTTAACGGTCAAAATCCCGAACTTGATGGATTAGGTGGAAAGGGATCCGAAGAGGATCCTTTTCCCTTAAAAATAGACACGATAAAGAAACAAAAATGCAATCTATTGTTATTTCTTTCTGTGACTAATGACTATCTATTTTTTATATATAGTGTGATCTCTTTTCAAACTCGAAAGATCTCGTTTGGTATTGAAGATTGGATTGGAATAAATAAACAATTATTTTTTTTCAGGGTTGTTAAAGAAAAAAAAAAGTTGTAACTTTGAGGTAGAAGATGAATTACATAATAAAATTTGAGAAATGCTAAGGAGATTCTTAAGTAGGACTCTCTGTGGGCTCTCCGCTGCCTCATTTTTTTGGCATAATGTTTTAGAATGTTGGCATATTGCCGGAGAGTCTATAGAAAGTCTCACTTTTGAGAGAGTCTCCTTAACATTTCTCATAAAATTTATACATTACAATCCTCCTTATAATTGTAAGAGTAAAAGGAAGAAGTTTTCTTTTTGCCTAATCTTTTGTAATTCCTTCAAAATGAAAATAATTCTAATACATGTTCAATATTTAGAGGTTATTTCAATCCAATCCTAGATACTAAATGAGGGCAAAGAGAAAGCACCGGCCTCATTTTAGTCATTGCAGATTTTTTGAGAGCTGTTAGGCCTAGTTTGATCCTATATATAAGAATTAGACATACTAAGTTTGATTCTTCTAACATTATTGCAATTGTAAGTTTGATAAAGATGAGTTCTATGTAGGATGAGTTACACACTCTTTCATCATTTTGCACACTCATGTTTATTTGTCCCTAGATTATTGTTTATCTAATTCAATGACTAAAAATACATAGAGATAGTGACGGTGTTAGCATTGGGTCAATGGTTGTCTTTGACCTCAATAACTTCAAAAACTCCATGTACATTTGTTTGTGTATTGTATATAACCCCTATAAAAGTTATTACATACTAAATTACAACCTCTTCCTCATACTTCTTCTATTTTCTTCTATCATATTTGTCTTTCTTTTCTCTTTTCTTGTGTGCAACTCTATTGTGTGCACCATGTACTTGATGAAATACTTTAGTTGACAAGCCGTGACAATCATTAACATTACTCCACAATATCTTGCATCCACCATCGACAAGCCTCTACAATAGTAATAGTTGTCGACATACGTTAACATAAGATTTTGCATATGTTGGCAGATGCTTACTAGGTGTTCGACGAAATGGGCCAATAAAGCTATTGTGGTTGATATTATGACCTCATTATTTAAAAGTTCTGACTTCGACACTGCATAAGATGTGTAAGGGAAAAAATGCGCATGAATTTCTAGCCCCTTGTATGTATTAATTGCATGCGCGACCCATCTACTTTTTCTTTGTTTTCCCACCTTACTATCAGTTGTTTCTCTTTTCTCTCTCGTTCCATAAGTTGGTCATTTGTTGTACATGAACCAAACTCATGAGCTCAATTAGAATCACTCCCTCAAACTCTAAAACTCGAATTTCGGCCCAATTTAAGATTTTGATTTCTACGATATTTGAATCAAATTCGAATTTTTACCCGAATATGAAAGACTTATAGTTACTTCAAAAATGTTATCTTGAACTCATCCATGCACAGTTTTAAAGTTGGAACCAGCTCCTCTTTTTTTTTTCCTTATTTTTCATGGTTAATAATGGTGATTAAGATATGGAGGCCAACTGTATTATTCTGATAAGTGAAGAAAATTCTACTAGTATGGTCTTAAATCTCTTGACAAGCGGATTAGTCATGCAATGACGTTGTCCTTTTAACCTTTGACTTGGTTGGCAGACTGCCATTAAGCTATATTATTTAATTAGCCGATTTCGTATCTGACCATGCCATTAAGCTTTATTATTTATTAATTAATCGATTTCGTATCTGACCACTACAAATTATTGAGGAAATATTTTTACTCCACTATGTGATAACGATATTTACCACTTAATGTATCGTCTTTAAATGAGTTTTAATTTTGAGATTTATGGAGTGAAAAGACACCGTTTTCAAAATTTAGACTAATTTAGTAATAATAAGTAGGATAATGAGCAAAAATACACCAAATTACTCGATAAAAGGAAGAATAAAGTTTTCGATGATTCTTTGAGGGAAAAGTTATAGGACTTGGATTGTCTGCCCTCCAATTTCTGTGACCTCCTCGTGCCCTCCTGTTTTTGTGGTCACGGTTAAGCCACGTCAACATTTTATATTACTATTTCTTTTTGTTTTATTATTTTTATAAAAAAATAATATAAAATATTGACGTGACTTAACCGTGACCACACAAAACAAGAAGGCACGGGGAGGGCAGACAATCCAAGTCCAAAGTTATAACATGTTTGTAGGTCCACATACAATTATCCGTACAAAACGCATTGCCCCACGTTAGTGGACAACAACCTTATTTCATCTGTTTCAACTTTCATACCTTTTATATTATTGCACATTGTTTTGTACTCTGGGACCCTGGTAAAGAAAAGAAAAACAAAAAAAAATAAAAAATTACAAGCATGGCTTCAATTTGTCTGCCGCTTTAACTCACTGAGTTCGAATTTTTATTCTCTAAATTATAGTAATTTAAATATCTAAAAGCAACCTCTAAAAAGTACAATGGTTTTGTCCCACAGTTTTCAGATTAAGTCTTCTACATCTATTTCTTGAGTATGACATCTCTGTGACCTCTATCATTAATTGATACGCATTAGGTTTATGACAACAAAATTAAGATAAGTTAAATTTATTAACACATGCTTATTAATAATAAAGATCACATGAAAGATGAGCGCAAAATATTTTAACTCCATGATTTTAATTATATTACAGAAGACAAGACAAGAGACCGGGACACCATGGTTTAGAGTTTATCAACAAATCAAACCCTAATAATTCTTGTTTGATATGAAATGAGGAATTTATGTTCTTCTTGGAAACATAAATTTGGTAATTAGTATATCCTCTGTTTTAGTTTATATATTTACAGGGTTTATCAACACATAAACATGGTTTGTTACAATACTTTAATATGCCTCAACAAAATTGTGGTCCTTTGGTTGATTAAAAGCTTCAGGCAGTTGAAGCTTTAACTGTATCCACTAAATTGAGATTCTAATCAAGATATTGTGTCGTAGAGGGATTAAAATTTATGTTAAGTTTTTTCCATGCCTTGTTATGTAACCCATTTCAAATTTTCTTTGCGTATGCCAGGTAATAATCATAAATTATTGAATTTTGGTTAATCTTAGTTTGCAATTCTCATATATATATATATATAATAACCACATCAACTATATGAAAATGAAAAGACTCACAAGAAATGAAGTTAAAACACTTATCAAATACTCAACAACAAAGTAATAACTTGATAAGAAATGAGAAATACAAGCAATCGGTCAAAACAAACATATTCGGGCAAGTTCTTGCTAGTAACCAAGTGCTTTTAAATAAGGGAACTTTAACAAAAAGCTCCAAGTACTGTTCATTTTAATGAAAAACCACATTTTTACACTAAAAAGTCAATCCTGGTACTATTCACTTTACCCTTTATTTTGTCCTTATCATTAAAACTTAAAGTTTTCAAGCCCTTTTCATTAGTCTTCCTTTTAAATAATGTTTGAATACAGAAAATTGATACTACATCAATGTAGAAGAGCTTTAAACGTAAATGAAATTTGCACCGTTCATTCCATTCACAATAAATACCCATAAGTGCCTTTAGTTGAAAAACAAATAAAGGGATTGGGCCCTGAATACGCCCAATGTATAATTTCAGTCCAAACATTAACTGTAACTAGTAATAAGACATTGAAATGTTCTGGAGAATGGACCAACTTTTGCTACCGTCAGTCATCCACACGCATGTACACAAAATCTGACCCAAGCATGCATAGATGAAATCTGACCATTGATGCGTTGAAACAAGTACAGAGACAGGGTATGTCATAATATTTTCACTTATATTAAAAGAATCCACAGCAGTAGATAAAAAATACAAGAACCTGAATCTTTTAATTTATCAAAAAGCTAAATGTCCAAATCCAAACATATATATACATATTTGTGCACATTTATATACCAATTGTTCATGTGTGTATATTACATTTGGTATTCCGGGGTTTCCTTTGGGATTATCTTCGGTGTTCAACGTGGGTAAGCACCTGCAAGAACAAAGTGGGAAAATGTTACAACAGTAAGTACGCAGAAATCATTAACAAAGACAGATCAGTGCTTAGCATTTACAGAACTACAACGGCCAAGGAAAGAACAAAAAGGGAAAATGAAAAGACGATGAACTGTCACGATAAATGTTTCTGATACATTGAATCACAGAACAGCATGAATCATGAACATCAAACTTGCACTTCAGAAATTTAAAAGCGCAATTCGCTAGACAACAGTAAATTAATGCAATTAAATGACCAGGGGAATATGAAATTTACAGCTTCATTCATTAGCAAACACTATCAAACAATCTACTTTCGTGTCATTCAAGAATCAAGACTTCAGAAACAATGTTTTAAAAGTGCAGTATACAACTCGTAAAGAAACATATAATGTATGAAGCAAATGATTTCGTTCTACTTTTTATTTTTTTGATACCCAGAAATTCCCAAAGACACTTTTGCAAACTCGGATACAATGCAGGGGACCCTCACGGGATCCTAACACAATCATTGACATGACACTTCTACGCTTCTACTTTTGGCAAAATGGCATAGAACCAAGTGACAGAAAAAGAATTCAAATGATTTCGATGACTTGAAATATCCTCCGAATGGGGGATCAGACAGGCTACAGTGGCTAACACTAGATAAAAGGCAAACACAAAGTAGTATCCCGTTTATGCTACTTACTAACCTATGCTAATGGTTTTTTTGCAATTTAAGTTGACAAATCAAGTAAATCATCAACCACAATGTGGAAAACAAAGATGAACTTGAGGAGTCCATTTTGCTTTTAAATGTTTATGCAATCAAACCTTATACGAACTTCATGGTTTGGAAAAATATATGCAATCAATGCAAGAAGCCATCCTAGCGACAACATATATGATTTCTCAAACAGCATAATAAAATATTATTTTGCAATTATTGGAAACCATGACCATATGATTGAAATTCCTTCCAAAAAGTGATTTTGTGCCTTACATCAATCAAGCTGTTTTTGAGCAAGTTGATCCGAAGAACTTCTAAATAGAAGTTGAACTCATTCTGCAATAAGAATCCTGAGAGACAACATCCCTGTTCTGCTGTGAAGGTGATGCCGAAAAGGGACTATGGACCCCAGCTTTACGAGGGTCAGGTTTGTGGCTCTGGGACGCCAAGTACTCAAGTGCTACAACAATATCAGTAATAAGAGGACGGAAAGTTGGTTGCTCTTGAAGACACATGGCAGTAATGGCAATTGCATGATGCAAACAACGAACTGGGAAACGTCCTTGCAACAGAGGATCAACTAATTGGACAAACTTCCTCCGATCCTTCAAAAATGGGTGCGACTGTGTTTACAAAAACAAAGGTGTTCAATAGGTTAGAAAAAATAATAATAAGAAATTATTTGTGATACAAGCTAGCAGTAGTTCCACAAAGGTTAGGTGAGACTGAAAATCTGATAGTCCAAAATGTGAATGAAAACTGAGAAATAGAAAGAGTTAACTCACCCAAGACACTAGGTTCTGTTCTCCTGGCCTCTTAGAGCAGTCAATTGCCTTCTTCCCAGTAATCAGCTCCAACATAACCACACCAAGGCTATAAATATCAGATTTCAGAGTCAACTTGCCGCTCATGGCATATTCTGGTGCACAGTACCCATATGTTCCCATCACTCTTGTTGAGACATGAGTTTTGTCACCCACAGGTGCAAGTTTAGCAAGCCCAAAATCTGAAAGCTTTGGATTGAATTCATCATCCAGCAGTATATTTGCTGATTTCAAGTCACGGTAGATAACTGGTGGGTTAGCTTTGCAGTGGAGGTATTCAAGGCCCCGTGCCGCACCAACAGCTATCTTAATTCGAGTGTCCCAACTCAGTGGCTCTTGACCAGGGCTAAGATCTGAAACATAAAATACCACATTTGTTAGGTCAAATACAATGGAGTACAATAATAAAGAAAAGAGGCTGCTAAAGAAAGATTATATGTCTTGTTTAGATGTTATCCATTCTTTCCTTACGCCATCCTCAATAGCAGGACAACTGTAAATGAAATTGAAGTTTAAGTGAATCCAACATACCAAAAATAAAATTATAGTGACAGAAATGAATGATCGGAAATTCAGCCTTCTATAGTATTCCTGCCAATGGATATTCCCATATTTCCCACAATGTGATAAATATAAAGTACCAAGCTATCATTTAACACGAGGAATAATACAATAGGAAAATGAATGAATTAGAGGCCGTAAAATGGATGAGAATGTACTGTACTTAAGCATCAAGATGCATACCAAAAAGATGATCTTCCAAGCTACCCCTCGGCATGTACTCATAGATTAAGAGTCTCTGATCTCCGTCAGTACAGTAGCCAATCAAGGTGACCAGATTTGTATGGTGTAGCAGGCTTAACATGAGAACCTCAACAATGAATTCTTGGAACCCTTGAACACCGTCATGATTAAGTTGTTTAATTGCGACAACCTGCTCATATAAATGAAAAGCCGCAACACATAAACATCAAATACAACCTAGTCTATCAAATGATATTTGGACTACATCCAGTGGATCAAGTTTTCATCCATCTAAAGAAGGGTTTATGGAAAGATATTAATTCTGATTTATACGAGCAATTCCGGTTTCATTAATAATCAGAAACATATATTGGCGGACATGACCCTAATTAAAATTTCCATACAAAGATTAACGGAATAACGATAATATGAACGTTGGAAATGCCGTGCAACACTTACCTGGCCTGCATCAAGCCGGCCTTTGTAAACTCTTCCAAAACCTCCTTCCCCAATCAAATTCACTTCCCTGAAGCCTTTGGTGGCTGCTGCAAGTTCGCGAAATGTGAAACTCCGTGCCACATTTTTCTGTCCGTTGCTGCCTTTTCCCCTCCCACACTCTGCACATACATAAACACAATAAAACTCAACTCAATTTCCCTACTACAAAACAAAAACACGAAATTCCAAAATTCCAGATAGTGTGTTAAACAGCTGAATCTCAAAATCCAGAAAAATGTTTTACCAAAAAAAAAATATCCAGAAGAATGGGTGTCACAACAGAACCAAACAAGCAATTAAAATTCTAGACTTTCAGAAATTGGGGGCGTTTGAGATTCTTACCGCTGTCATTGGAATTTCCTCTGCCTCTCCCACTACCTGCTGCAATTTGCAATAACAAAACCACTCACATTCAACAAATCGAACCAAAAAAATCCAATTGGGTAAGTATATACGTATCTATACATATATATATATATATATATATATAGATAAGTAAAAAGAGTGAAAGGCAGACTGACCGGAGGATCGAGTGCCGTTATCGATTTCGACCTTGCTAACATCTTTCCGGTGAGGACTGAAGCAACTAAAGCAACTCATCCCTTAAGCTTCCATCGATGTAATTAATTAAAATTCATACAAAAAGAAGTAAACAGAGAAACCCTAACCCTAACCCTAATCTAGAAACAGATAAGCTTTGGTTTTGTCCTCTCTCTCTCCTCCGCAGCCGGAGACGGAGAGATTCAGAAGCCGAAATCTTTACGAGGCCCCGACAACAAAAAATTCCCAAATAATTATAATCCCAATTGGATATGATTTCAGATTTAGATGCTACCCATTAATAACACGAACCAAAAACAACGTAAATAATTAGCAAAATAAAAAATTATTAAATCAACTCCCCCATTTAAATTAAATAAACTTATAAGAAATTAAGTAAATAAATTGGACAAAACGCGTTCGCTAAATTTGGACAGGGAGCTAGCGCATTTAGCGGTGGCCTATGAACAACTGGATTTTTAGCTTCCATTTTTTTTTTTTTTTTTGTTAAGAAATAAGAAATTAAATTTGTTGCAATAAATATATTTCATGTGGGTCCCATGAACGTGAGCTGTGCCATTTATCACTCCCGACTTCTCGCAATCTCCCTTCCCGCATTTAAACATTCCGGTTGGCTACTTGGGTGATATTACGTTATTGCCCTTGCTGTTGGGTTGTTTTTACTGCTGCTGACACTGACAAAGTGATAGTTTGGGATTCAAGCGACTCACCTTTTTTTGACCAAAAAAATACAAAAGTGGGTAACCTTTTTCCGATCGACCATGGATCCCGATGAGTGTGTTTTATAGGGGTAGGGGAAACGGCTTCGATACGATGATGTACTGTCGTTCACTCTGCTACCACGTGACCTACTCGTGACATCACGTGAGCTTCATTTTATTTTTTTTTAATTTTTTTTTTCAATTAACAACTATACTTCGTGATACTTATATATTTTGGTTCTGAGAAAGAAAAAATTGATGTTTGTTGTAATGTAATACGTGGATAGCCCACATGAATAGTTTGTTACTATTCATAAAAAAATCATATGGGTTATCATTTTATATGAAGAAAGTTTGTAAAGCAAATAGAGTTGTTACAGTAATCTTTTGCCTATAAAATGAGAGCATACGGAGGAAGAAAGAAAAGGAGAAAGAAAAGAAGAGAGAGGAGAAGAAAAAGAGGAAGAAGAGAGATACCGATTAAAATATCAGTGAGCTGGGCTAGAGAGAAGAAAGAAAATAATGAGAGTTATCTTTGTACTCCTATTATTTCACATAATGAAAGAAAGTACTACTGTTGCCCCGAGGGCGTAGGCACAGTTGCCAAACCTCGTAAATATTGTGTTTTATTTACTTTATGTTCCACTACACACATACCGTTGATTTAACAACACGTTATCAACACGAGAAGCTCTTGTGTCGGTGGAAAGCACAACGCAATAAATCCGGTGAAGCACTACCTACCTTTCACATCTGTCGGCTGGAATCTCACAGATAAGAAAATCTTTTCATTTTATCTTCATATCTCTACATGCCTAATTTTCTTAAAGTAAATATACATTTGGTTATTTAACTACTATCATTATTATTGACAGAAAATCTAACAGCCATGTAAATAGCCTCTAAACTCCAACTTGCGGACCTTGGATTGAGATACTTCCATCTTGAAAGTTGTTCGTCCACCCAGAACCTATAACATATCAAAATTTTCAAAAAATTCCAACGGTACGATTGTCGCAGATGTCTAAAACATCAAACCAGTTTTCAATTTCCGCAGAAAATTGGACAACCATCTTATGAGTACCAAAACTCCATTTTCAGTAGCTCAGATCGAAATTGTTTCTCCACAAAAGTTGTTCGGTATACTCTTATCCATATCATACTAAAATTTGAGCCAAATCTAATGGTTTGACCTTCTCATAAGTCGCATGCTCTACTCTTGACTCCAAAACTTATAGGAACCGTTTCGATTTTTTTGAAACTCATTGGAGGAGGAACACCAATTGGGACTTATTGTTACTATTACTCCCTGAGTAACTAAAGGGACTTAAAACTATGAAATGAAAATAAAATAAAAGGGATGAAACAAAATAAAGTGGCAGACAAAGGAAAAAGAAAAAAAAAATAAAGGAGATGGAGACTTAATCATTGTCTTTTCTGTTTTGGCATATTTATGTGTATGATGCTGTTTTAAAGCCCTATCACAAGTTCCATTTATTTAAACCAATTTATTTACAGTGGGTGGAGTTATTACCCTTTGCTTTAAGCTTTGATATTTATGTGAATGATGCTGAATCAAAGCGCTTATCACAAACTTTATTTACTTAAAAGCAATTTATTTACCATGGCTGGAATTACCGACTATTGCTTTAATTTATTTAGTGTACTACATTTTATGATGAGTATATGAAAGGACCCGAAGTTCCTTGATCAGATTATAACCCGAAGTTTTTTTTTATCCTCATCATATAAAATGATTGGACCTAAAGTTCCACCATTAAAAAAGATTGGACCCAAAGTTCCTCAATTAAATCAAAACCTGAAGTTTTTGAATGTACTGAGAGAGCAGCAATTCCTCAATTAAATTAAAATGACAGCCATAAGTGCCTCAGTCCACAAACTATTAAGGGGTGTGCTATCCACACACCCCTTTTTACTTCTCACACACCCTTGTTGATTTTTGTTGTTTGATCTTCTTCAATTCATCCGATCCAACGGCCGAAAATTAAAAAGGTGTGTAAGAAGTAAAAAAAGGTGTGTGGATATCACACCCTACTATTAAATGAGGGTCAAAAGTTCCTTGATTCATGTAAATGAGGACCATATGTTCCTTAATCCATGTACATATTAAGTATGGGTATGAATTCCAAAAATATGAACCTAAAGATTCTAATGATGTCGATTTTGAGAATAAATTTTGAGTACATATGAATAATGTTTTGACCTGAAATTCAAACTATGAATAATGTTAAGAACTTGAAGTTCTAACATCTTGTGTAGACATGTGCTAAATGTGGTATGATTTAATTATCGCAATTTCTGTCATACCTAAATTTCTTTTTCTTGGGAATAAGGAAATTGTGAACTTAGCAAAACCCAATTTTATGACCATCGACATCTTACACGAGAGATACTTTCATGAATTCATAATGCCCGAAAATTCATGTTGAAGCATATGATATTATAAAACATCTTTGCTTAAAGGCTTATTGATTCATATTAATGGAACCAGAAGTTTCCATAGTTTCAGGCATGTATAAAACCAGAAGAGAAGGAATTTTTCTGTACACACACACACACATGTGCATACACATGAGTTACAACTACAAAAACAAACAAATAAGGAGCCTTGACAAATGTTGCTCATGTGAAGCCTCTGTACTTGGCGGTACACCAGAAAGGGAAGGCACTGGAAATTGATTATGTGATGCCCCATTACTTGGCAAAACACCAGAAGGGGAATGCACCGGTTGCCTTCAGAATCTAGCCATGAATATCTGGTGATCACTTTGAATCCGACTTTCGGATTCCTGCAGATGGTCAAGCTTTCTTTTCATGGTCGTTGAGTAATTATTTGCAAGCATGTGCAACTTTCTATTTTTGTGCTTGAGCTCTCTGATTTTTTGTCTAAGACTCACCACCTTAGCCATCAATGATTCAACTTGGCGAGTTCGAGTAAGTAGGTGTTGACCCATATTAGATACAGAGCCCGCACACTGAACACTGAAAGCCATATAGTCTTGAACAACTAATTCATCAGACCATTTTGAAAGCATCATGTTATCTTTGGGAGTGAGAAGATTCCTAGCTACTATTGTAGCGGTTATGTCATTCTTCATCACAGAGTCCCCAATCATAAAAGGACTATTAGCAAATAAGAAGGATGTGTCATTGTTGACCCTAAAAACTACCAAGCCTACGTGGCGCGCAGGCCGAGTAATCTATAAGCTAACTACGTCATTTGGTGAATGCGGGGCGTGCTAACTCGTCAGCCGAGCTTGACCGAGGAGTAAATTTGTTGATGTCGCGTTGGGTGCACGGCTGACTTCTGCGTCTTGCGACTGCGGCCGAGAAAGGAACACATCTCGGCCTCTTGGGCTCTCGAACCTGAAGAAAGGGTTACTATTCTTATGAAGTTCACGAATCGCCGTCGTCGGATTCAGTTACAGTGATGTTATTCGTCAGAGTAAACTCTCGCCGAATCGACACCAAAGTGTAAGGGCACAAATACTCAAAGTGAATATAAGTCTTAATAGTGAACGTGGTTCGGCCGTCCGAATGCCGAACTCTAAATCCCACTTGGGAGTATCCAATCATAAAATAACTCGGCGTGCAATGCGCCGAGCTCGATAAACTGTAACACCTCACTTCGCCGAGAAGGCTAATGAGATGACCTCAATCAATAAGGATCCGGAAATCCTTCTCGACCGAGACTTGGATAGACAACCAATCGTCCTTGCCGCAGTGTTGTTGATGCCAACGGAAGATGCTGCGAGAACGGCTGATTCTACGATGACAGAGCTATCTATGCCGACTTAAGATATCACCGGTTGCTTTCACAGTGCTGTTGATGCCAACGGAAGATGTGTCAGCGAAAAGAAAAAATAAAAATCTCAAAGTTGTTGAGAGAATTTGCGCATGGCAGTTGTGTATTGAATTTTTTAGGAGCTCTTGAATGATGCACTACCTCTGTATTTATAGGGACATATACACGTTGGTTGATAAACTGATATATGCTTCTGCCATGTATTATGACTCTTCCACAAATTGCGTCAGATAATCCTTATACTCCTACGACTCTGAACTTAGCCAAAAATGCAACCAAATATGATCCTTATGCTTAGTCTTATCAGTTATCACATCCCAAGATAACCTGCACGCTTGGATTGGTTCAGATAATGCCCATCAAAATAACCACCATTATATATATATATATATATATATATATATATATATATATATATATATAACTGGTAACTTTTCACACGGCATGCAGGCCAAGTCCATCATCTGACAACACCTTAGCCTACTTAGGTCTCCTATCTCACCATTATCCAAGCCTTGCAAATCCCATGCTATGTGTCATGATAAGAATCCAAGCCAAGTTGCTCTAACCCACACGGTACACTGTTAACAAATCCAAGTTAAGTTGAACTGTTCTGCCTGTCTCTACGGGGATATAATCTGTACCCTATTTATCCTATTCAAGAATATGTCAAGATAATTCATATTAAAAAATAATTATTATGATAAAAATCATAATATTATCTTTTAATAATAACAACATTATCTTCACTTTTCCATCCAACGGTTGGGAGCTATGCTCACTCAATGGCCTCGATTGCACAAACCGATTGTGTAAATTTGAGCCCAAACATTGCCCCCCAGTTTCCTTGAGCTTCGGCTCATAAGCCGAATGGTTAAGGAAATTAATTGCTCGTAGCCAACAACATTTCGTCGTATTGCCGAAACAAATTTTGTTTCTCGGCATTAAAAT